AAGCAACCTGTGTCCATCAGTAGATGAATAGATAAAGATGTGGTACATATACACAATGGAGTATTATTCAGCCCTAAGAAGAAAACAATCCTACCATTTGCAACAACATGGATGGAGCTAGAGGGTATTATGCTCAGTGAAATAAGCCAGGCAGAGAAAGACAAGTACCAAATTATTTCACTCATCCCTGGAGTATAAGAACAAAGGAAAAACTGAAGGAACAAAACAGCAGCAGAATCAAAAAACCCAAGAAAAGACTAACAGTTACCAAAGGGAAAGGGACTGGGGGGCATGGGTGGGAAGGGAGGGAGAAGGGGGGAAGTAGAAATGGGGCCTTACAATTAGCATGTATAATGTGTGGGGGGCACAGGGAGGGCTTTTCAACACAGAGTAGACAAGTAGTGATTTTACAGCATCTCACTATGCTGATGGACAGTGACTAATGCGGTATGTGGGGGGGAGCCTTGGTGAAGGGGGGAGTCTAGTATACATAATGTTCCTCATGTAACTGTAGATTAATGATACCAAATAAAATAAAAATAAAAAGCAATCCAAAGACATACAAACTAGGGAAGTTGTGGCTGTTGAGCGTCAGGGATCAGGCTTCTATCTTGTTGCGCTAACATCTTCAATAAGGGTCTTTCATCTGAGGTCAAAGACAGCTCCTCAAGCTCTAGCTGTCATACCTACAGTCCAACCAACAAGAAGCTGACAGAGGAGAAGCATGACTACCACCATAGGGACAGATCTTAAAAACAGCAAAAGACACTTCCACTTATATTTCACTAACCAGAATTTAGTCACATAGCCTTTATGTGGGGAGCCACATAATTCTTTACTCTGGAGAGCCATGTAACTAAAATCCAGGGGCAAATGGTGACAACCAAATAATCAGTCTCTGCCACATTTCTGGAGTCAAATGAGGAGCAGGCAAATAGACTTTGCTGCCATCCAGGGCTGAGTTTTCACTCTTTGAATACACACTTTAAATAAGCTTCCCTCTTGGTGAGGCTTGTGAGGCATAAGCATCTTATGAGATTATTTATAAACCTTGATTTCAGTGAGAAAACACTGAAGAAAAGAATTTCAAGGTTACAAGTTCTCCGTTTTTCAAAAACTGGAGACTTTTATTTTGAGAAAAACTCCTTAAGATTATACAAATATAAAACTAAAATCATCATCTAAAAATGGATATTGCTCTTTTCAAATGTGAGTTTAAGCTTCAGTATAACAATAAACTACTGCTTGTTCTTATGGAGTAGTGTATTTGGATGGAAGAGTAGATCACAAGAGATCAGTAGTTGAAACCTTCAAACCTTACAGGAATCTCCTCACAATGGAAGACCTGAAAAAAAGAAACCAGGTGGGAAGAAGATCACCCTGGGATATACCACTGAAATCTGTATATTCGTGTTGACTCAATAACTCATTATTATATTGATTGTTGATTAGTGTATTCTAATAGGATTCTCTTGGGGAGGCACCTCCTTGAAGGTAAGATGCTTCCCCTGAAGGTAGGGTGACCAAATGTTCTTGTTTGCTGAGGACTAGGAATCCCAGGACATAGGACTTTCAGTGCTAAAACTGCAAAGGACAGCTCTGGGAATACTGGGACAGTTTCTCACCCTACGAATGGACATAACCACTGTTGATAACATTTGAAGAACTTAGAAAGACCAGGAAAAGAGAACTGGGACCTGCTGACCTGGGAGAATTGCCTGGGATGATGGGTGAAGGGGGAAAAGAAGAAAAGGAGATGTGATTTTTTTCCTTATCTTGTTCTGGGCTCTGAGAAACGTCTACCACACTCTACCACACCTGAACTTAGGATGGCATAACTCCTGGAACAGTACTATGAAGTAAGTCCAGGAAGTCCAGGAAGAGGAGTTAGGCTTTGAGCAGCCAAATAATGAGCCAGTTGTATGTTTTGCTGTTGCAATTCTACTCTGTTCTTTCGGAGCCTGGTCCCATGCAACTGTGGGATAATATACGCACTGGGCTGGATGCTAATAGTAGAAGCAGTGTAGTGATGCAGGAGGAGCCCAAGGAAGGTAAGATCCCAGAACAGCAAGTAACCAGTCACAGAACTATAAGAGGCTCCTCCTTCTTTGGAATTTATAAATATCCAGTGGTGAAATCCATCAATGGATTGAAATCTATTAACATTTTAAGATTCTAGAATGACAAATCAGCCCTTCCATAATGACAGCAATATATATAAAGGGTTATATAAAGTCTTAATAGAATAATCCTTCATGTTTTGTTGGGCAAACATGGAGATTCCTTTCAAATTTTTTTTTGAAACTTACTAACCTGATTTCAAGGACTACTTTCCTTGGTCCTATTTAGTATCTAAAGATTTCATCTCTTCTACTTGATTATCACAGAGGGGGGTCTTAGATTGTAGTCATTAATTTTTAAAAAAGCCTGTAAATTTTGTTTTAGGGAACTGGGGGTGAGTCCCAGGCTTCAGCTTCCCTTTCTTCCTGCACTACAATTCTCAACAAAGTCTCAGTTCTGAGTTGTGATCTTTTATACCTGTAATTTGGTGAAATCTGGGTGGGATCTAGAGAGCAATAGGCCCTAAAGACAAGTGCATGCACTAGAGTTAAGACTCCTTAATTTCTTGTTTTCTTGTCCTAACTTTCCCTCCATTGCCAGGGAAAAGTGACTGCTAAGCTTAGTCCTTGGAGTTATCAGTTAATTGTTTCAGGGGAGATTCAATCATAGTATGTTTATTATCTGTGTTACCCCTCCCCCAAACTTATGTTTTCATTATAAGTGGTCTTGTTTTTTGTCCCTAAATTAGGTTAAATTGCTATAGATCTATTACAGCCCAAGGGTTAGAAAAGAAGCACCATCTCTGTTCAGTTCATTTTTAACTAACAATGTTTATGGTCCCTCTTTCGTACAACTTGGAACTGATAAGCAACTGATGACCCAATATTGTAGTCTTTCCTTAATATGTCCTGGGACTTTGATGTCTTGAAAAATCTAAAGGCAAATCTGGAAAACTCCTATGTTGGCCAAATGGAATCATCTAGAAAAATGGGACTTCACCTAAAACAGGCAAAATTCTTGACTCTCTCAAAACTGTACTGGGAAGACACTAAAAGTTCACAATAAGGATCTCAAGAGGAGAAGACTTCTCAGGCACTTATTAAAAGCCCCTATGAGCAAACCTTTGGCAATCTGGAAGTACAGATCCCAATTCCTCCCCTAGAATATTTTGGGGAAGTGTAAGCATGGACTAAAAAAATCCTGGGATGTAAAAATCTAGGTTGGAAGGAAATTCAAGGAATAGATTTGGAGTTACTCTGTGAAATTAATTGCTTCTAGGAAAAAATACTGCCAGTCAATGTTCAGTCAGTTCAGTACTTAGAAATTATCTTTGGTGTGCAAGTAATAGACTTGCAATTGCATTTGAAATCTCTCCAAGACCATCCTCCACTCAGGATTCATGTCACCATCTAGTGAGTTAAGTTGTGAAAAACCTGTTTTCCTTTAGTGTAGGTCTTTAAAGGCTAAAATGCTAGGCACTTTACAAGATCACACTTAACCTTGCCTTATAATACATGGGTGGCACTGAGAGGATATGTTTTCCTTATGCAATATGCATAATAAAACCAAAACTGAAAGAAAAAATAGCCATCTTAGGAAACTTGGGAAGATGGTGAGAGTTAAAATATTGCTTTATGCCAGAGACAAAACCAGCTTGGGTCACAAGTTAAACTTTACAAAGAAAAAAAAGTACCAGGACATCTCTACTGCACAATGAATAGACCTAAAGTTCCCAGTTGCCTTGTTCACTGTCCACTCCCATCTCAAAGACATCATTGTACATATTAAGCTCAAAGAGTAGGATGATGAGGGGAAATAGCTTTTGGAGTAGAAATAAACAGAAGATAAAAATCCATAATTGTTTTTACTCTTGGAGATGAGTCACTCTCAATTTATTTCCAAATTTTCTCTATCATCAGCTGTTCAATTCTTTACTTTGCAAATCACCAGATTAACAACGCCAAAGTCAGGTCAGAAATGATCCAAGAGAACAATTCAGAGGTATCCCATGGTGAGTGGATGAGAAACTGGGAATAAGACAGCCTCAGAAATTCTTTTCTGTCCCAGTAAAGGTACCAGTGTATGAACCAAATTCACACTTTCATTGTTCCAATTAGGTTATTTTCACATAATCTAGTATGATTTTTTGGTGAAAAACTTGGTGGAGGATTTTTTATTTCCTGGGAAATTCTGTCCATCACTTTGTACATAAGATATTCAAGTAGGTCTAAATCCAAAATTCATTTCAAGATAAGAAATTATATTCCTTTTACCTCTCCTTTTTAATACTTTCACATGACTTCTTTATCCCAAACCTTCCTTCTACAAGGAATTTCAAAGCAGAATGGCCAAAGAGATATTCTAACATCATGATCACAAGAAATGTAATTTAGATGTGAGCTGTCACAATCTGGGTCAATCTCCTCTGTGCAGCAATCTATCAACATCTTTAGATTTCCTGTAAAGTATAAGCTTGCTATTTTATCTATGTTTGACTCATCTTCTTTACATTGATTGGGTTCTTAAACCCATTTAGCCTCTAACTCCTATTTGGATTGGCAATAGGAGATTAGAGTCCAAATGTCCTCCCTAGGAACTAGGTGCAAGTTACAGTCCAATTATTGCAGAAAGACTATAAAGGTGTAGGTTTCAGAATGCCCCTAATATCCTCTTATAAACACAAAGCTCCAAACTCAGATTCATAGCCATTTACTTATGTCAAAAGACCATTACCTATCTTCAATTTACTCTGTAACACCTGCCTCAGATGGGACTTTTATAGGAAGCAAAGTAGAAAAGCTAAAACATCACCCAAATAATTCAGGAAAAATACTGTTTTCATTTGAAATCTCTAAATAATTGAAACAAAAACAAAGTTTTCTGGCTAGATTCTATATTCCCCTTTGTTTTGATTTTGTAGGCACAATCAGAAATGTCTACAACCAGTGAGCTTTTAAACAAGTGGTACTCAACCTGGAGTCCAGTGGATAGCTGGGAACTGTTGTCTTGGTTTTGGTTTAGTTGGTAAATTTGCAAAAGAATCAAGATATCCTGGCATAGCCCCATCCCTTCTAAAACACGCAGATTAAATGTCAATTTGTGACAAGTGTCCACACACTTAGTCATGTTAGATGATGGAACTGTGTAGGAGGTGGTGAGGATGAAAGTTATTACAACTATGGAAAGTTTCTCTCTTCCCCACCTTTCACATTAGCTAAAATGAGTAAGCATCAGCTCCTGACGGATACGGTCAGCCTCTAGGTCCAGGGACTCCATATGTTCATACTCTTCCTCAGTAGGCTGTTCAAGGCGTCCTGTCATTGGAGAGGACCAAACATCCATCCCATGCTCCAGGGAGATGTTGTGGAGGACACAGCAAGCCAAGATGATGTGGCTGGACTTCTCCGGTGAGTACTGCAATGCACCCTTGGATCCATCCAGGCAGCGGAATCGGGAGCAGAGGGTGCGGAAAGTCTTCTCAATCACACTGTGAGTTGCAGAATGGGCCATATTATAGCGATATTCGGCTGGAGTTTCAGGAATGTGAAGTGGGGTCATGAGCCAGGTATGGAGAAAGAATGAACTGTCACCTATGGGGAAAGCCCAAAGAAATCATAAATATTGTAAGTGGAATACAAACAAAAAAGGAATCCAGGAACATATACAGAGAATGGACAAGAAAACACAACAGCCTGTGGCACCAAAGCACACCAGAGAAACCATGAGGGAACTGCAAGAGAAGGCATGTCAGTGTCCTGAGCAGGCTCAGAATGTCCTTGGTTAAAACTAACAGAGAAAAAAAAAGGGCTGATAATTAAAGAAAGCCAAGCCTGAAAGAATGTAGGAAGGAGGTGAGGCACTGGAGGATATAAAATTGCTGGATTTTCTAAATTCAGAGATACTGTTTTTTAATAAAAAGTTAGTAAAAACTATCACATAGCAAGCCAATCTTCAAAATCTCTAAAGAACTACAATGCAAGAGAGAAAAAGAGAACGCTTCCAGGAGATTGTAAAACACTTGTGAGGAAATTTTTTAACTTTACCACTAAAATGCCAGGTTTGAGAGCAGTACCTAGGGATTTTAGAGTATTTCAGGAACAATGATCATTATTCATTCTCTCAGTGCTAGGAAGAATAAAAGTCCCAGCATCTATGGCAGAAATCAGCAATCAGGAGTTCTGTCTTCCCAGATATTACATTTGCTAGAACCATACCTTGGTAACAGAGGAACTGGTAAAATTTCACATTAAGGAGAACATAAATATGATGTGAATAGTAATAGTCAATGATAAGGAAATGAAATCAGAAGCCAACTAAAATGATTTACATGAGGCAGTTCCCTTAGGGACTTCCTTATCAAATGATCCTGGGAACTACTAAAAACGAAACAGAAAACCAGGGTGCAATGTCCTAGTACAACAGTAACGTGTTTCTACAGTGTGTAATTTTCCTGACTCACTACATCTGGCAGATGAAATATCTCCCACAGAGGCACAATCTCTTAGAAATTGGAGACAGGCCCTAGGAGTACCAACCTGCAAAATCCCTGTTTTCCTGACCCACCATCAATTTCAGTAAATAGTTATGGACTATTCAGATAGTGCTAGGCACTGTTCCAAAACATATAGGACTTCATTCTTTTAGGAGCTTACATTTCTAATAACTGGATTAACTTAAAATTTTTATTGAGATATAATTTACATAATAATTGAGATATAATATTGTATTAGGTGTGCTGGATTAACTTTAAATATCTAAGTCTCACAAAATTTTCAAATTTTATATTTAGCTGACTTTTCCCCTCCTAGTATAGGGGAAATCACCCCTACTAAATACTGTATTTAGAAGACTAATGTTATAAATAATAATGAAAATAGTATCTGTTACTCACTGAATACTTATTATGTAGCAGGCACTGTGCTGGGCACTTTAAAAATAGTCTCTATTATCCAATTCCAACTCTGCCAGGATAGATATTATTGAACTCATTGCATAAATGAGAAGATCAAAATGCATGATAGCCATCCTTTGATATGTCAGATGAAGGAAGGGGAAAGAGCTAGTCATTAAATGCTAATTTCTGATTCAGAGGCACAAAAACAATAGTGAAATGCTGTAAAAGAAAGTAAGATAAACATTTAAGATGAATGTGAAAGCAGAGATACACGTAATATTTTTTAAATGTTTCTTTAAGAAATATCATGGGCCTTAAATGGGGAGACACATAGGACAAGCTCATTAATGTTGACCTTTTATAAAATGCTCCATTGTCATTAACAGGTTATATAATCCAAGCAGCACTGGAAGACAGACACTCAGGAGGGGATTAGGATCAGAACTGCTAAACAGATTACATTGTTTACATAATCAGGCATTCAGCAAGACACTCTGGCAGACCTTACCCAAAGCTGCCTAAGAGGACCAGACCAAGAGCTGAATAAACAGGAACTCAGGCTGAATTGTTTGCAGGAGCAGGTACACTTAAGGGGAATTAGGTAATGCACTATGAGAGAACAGATGAGAATGAGGACATGAAGGGATGACACCATGGTGAAAAAATGCTAAAAAAATCAAAGGGGAATCACAGTTAATTCTAGATCTAGCTAATTTAGAACTACTGCACATATCTGATGGCATTAAGATATAATCAGACATCTGAGAAAGACAAGTACCAAGTGATTTCACTCATCTGTGGAGAATAAGAACAAACCAAAACTTAAAGGAACAAAACAGCAGCAGACTCACAGAATCCAAGAATGGACTAACAGTTATCAAAGGGAAAGGGACTGGGGAGGATGGGTGGGAAGGGAGGAAGGGAATAAGGGGCATTACAATTAGCACACATAATATAGAGTAGGTGTCGGTCCCCTCCCTGCTTCTGACCCGTAGACAAGGGAGGAGACGCGATGAGATATCAAAGATCTGAAAGAACCAGCCAGGGAACTCAAGGCGTAACAGCGCAAGAGTGGTGCTGAAAAAGTACCTCTCATATTTATTGATCAAGAATCACATTCTTGAGTGGGTTAACGAGTTTTTAGACACAATGATTAACATGCTTTGCTCCAGGAATGTAATTGCCTCCAGGTCGCCAGGGCAAGACATCCCTGGCGCCAAACAATGAGGGAATAGCTATAACAAGAAACAGATCTCGGTTAAGAATTAGTGAGCTGCGGCAGGCACCACAGATCCAAGGAAGGCAATCAATTCTCCTAAAAACAGAATGATCTATGAATAGCAACCTACAAGTAGGGGCAGAGGGAAGGCAGTATAGCACAGAGAAGACAAGTAGTGACTGTATAGCATTCTTACTACACTGATGGACAGTGACTGTAATGGGGTATTGGGTGGGGACTTGATAATGGGGGGAATCTAGTAACCACAAAGTTGCCCATGTGATTTTATATTAATGATATAAAATAAATAAATAAATACATCAAAAAAAGATATAATCAGCCATCTTATCTTTTTATTTTTTTTAAACATCTTATCATTCTTCATCCTGTCAATCCGCCCCTACAGTTATTCCATTGTCCACATACATTCTCTAGAGACCAGTGTTTCCCAAACTTACCTATTTGCATGAAATCATTTAGAGTACTTGTTAAAAATGGATTTATAGTTTAGTCCCTTAAAGATTCTCATTCCCAAAATTTGAAGTGGGGCCCAGTGATGTACGTTTTTAATAAATTCCCAGATGACTCTTTGATCTGGGAAATCTGTGAACATTATACTAATTCAGCGGTCTTTAGACAGTTTTTCTGTTAGAGCTCATAGAGGCTTTTCAAGGGGGGTAGGTGCTAGAACTGATCATACTAAGGTTTTTTCCGTTCTTAGTGTGTATCATATCGCCTGGTACCAAATCTGGCCTTAATAAGCATTTGTTAAATGTTGCAATCTCCATTTCTCCCACTTCCACTCTTTCTCTAAAGAGGGAAATCAGAAAGTATATAAAAATTTGTCAGTTTTTACTTTTTCCACCTATGTCCTGTAAACAACTAAAAAAACTACTTTAAAACCATAATTCCAACTGAATCTGGGGTCCCAAGGTGTGAGGGAAAAGAAAATCAGTAATTCCTTTGTGACCTTGAAGTCCTTAACAGAAGACATATTTGCCAACTAGAGTAACTCATATAACCTAGTTAAACACAGGTGACTTAGTTATTCTGTGCCTTAATTTGGTAAGATTATTATTTAACTCCTTGAGAGTTTTTAATAGGAATAAGTGAGATAATCAAATGCAAAGTACTTATAATATTGCCTGACAAATTCTAAGTGCCCTGTAAGTTTTAGCTTGTCTTTATAGTTAGGGTACCAAAATGATTTCATAAGAAGTAAGTTTGGAACCCAAGTACTCCCACATATAGAGAAATAGCTAGATAGAAATTGGAAAAACAGATTTTCCTTCACTTATTGGTGTGAGTTGTATGAAAACAAAGTTTGAAAGTTCAGAGTAGGCACAGGTTGGGATTAAGATCAAAGTCCAGTAAAAAGAAGATGGTACACTGAAAATGGTATGTAGAAACAACAGCTGAAGAAAAATCACTAAATGCCAAGATGTTACATACATATGGCATCCTGGTAGCTCTAAATCAATCAGTATGACAGCAGTTTCTTCCCATTTGCAACAGGAAGGTTTTTCTTTAATGGTCAGCAAGCACACTAAAGAGAATCCAAGCACATTAAGAATAAATAATTCCTGAGTGTCTATTACATGTTAAATACTGTTATGAACAGCGCAGATATTTGTGGTTTTGAAAGAAAAGTCTTCCGATCTTTAATGTATCTTTTCATCTCTCACTTAATATGTTGTATACAAGATAATCCTCATTCGGCTGCTCACAAAAGAGTAATGCTTTAAAACAAATGAGAAAAAACTAAGCTTCCAGACTCAAGGATTTTATCACTGTTAACTAACAGTATTCCTCACAGTTGTATAGTTATCTCAGTTTGCACTGCTCAATTTTGAATGAGGTCATTCTTGTCCTACTCAGATCACGAAGCCAGGCTTTCCAATGGCACTTGGGCAGATCTGGAAGTGAGTTCCTATCAGGAGAACCGTATAAGTGCACTTTCTGGTATCGTTTTCATATAGATGTCACAGTGACAATCACCAATGGTAAAAACGTCTCATATTTTAACAGTACTTTATAGTGAACTTTCATATAAGTTACCTAATCCCTATAACAGGTATTACTACTTTTTTACACATGATAAAAATTAAGGTTCAATTGTATGGGGGTACTATATTTAACCAGATCTGTACTGATGAGTATTTCAGATGTATTTAAGGGGAATGTTTTTGTGGGATTGTTGTTTGCAACTATAAAATATTGCTGCAATGCAAATTCTTTTATGTAATTTTGTTTTATATCACCAATGTCCATATTTATGAACACATACCTACCTGCAAGATAAATTCCTAGAAAAAGATCTGGGTCAAATAATGTATTGTTAAAATTTAATATGTCTTTTAAACATTGATTTTTAAAAATTGAGGCTTAAAGAGTTCCCAACTGAGGTCTCATTAAAAAATGAAAAGGAGGCTCAGGTCTACAGACTCCCATATTTCATTCCACTCTAATACACAATTTCTCTATGGCTACAAAATGAAGCATTTACACCTGCAAACTTACCAAGCAGCCAGCTATCTTTGTGCATTCTGGCTTCAAACTGACTACTGAGAGAAGACTGCCGCAGCACAGCATAGTCCTGTAGGCTACCTGGCCTGCTGGTCTCCACAGTCATTAGTGTCCCTCGGATATCACATACCATCAGGCAGTTTAAAGAATGCAGACCTTTGCGGTTCACATAGGAGAGGTCTTCAGCATTTGGTGCCTTAATTGCCACATGGATACAGTCAACCACTCCTAACACCCCTGGCATCCCTGCCAACCCATAGAATTCATCCTTCAGAGCCTGCAGGGAGGCTTCATCAGCTGGAAAGCGAATGAACTGCGAGGCTCTTTCCACGAGTGCTTCGGTGACATTGGCAACACATCGACTCATAGATGCCTGACTGATTCCGATAGCATCTCCCATCCGAGTCTGGAAGGAACCTGAGGTATAGAAGCCCAGTGCTGCAAGGATCTGTGTCTCTGGGCTAATAGCCCTGGATCTCTGAGTAGGTCTGGAAAGACTTGCCCCCAAGAGCTCCACCAAGTGATAAATGAACTGTCGAGGAAACCCATACATGGACATCAAATATTCATCAGTCACATCATCCAGCTTAAAGCGGTCCAATGTCCGGTGACCTCGGCCATACAGCAAGAGATCACAGTCAAGCACTGTTATTGGTATAGCCATGGTGCATATAAATGTTGTCTTTCCTCCCCTCTGCTATTTTTCCTGAACCCTTTCCAGTGAAAACATGCAAGAAGGTATTTAAGGACGTGTCAGAATTCAATAGCTAACCATCAGTGAAATGGCTCTGGCATTTATAATCTTCTCTCTGTAAAGGTTAAAAGAAAAAAATATGAGAAACTTACGAAAGACCTCAAAGTGACCCAAAGGCTACAACTGATTCTTTTCTCAAATTTCCACTTGGTTCAAGCAAAAGGTGCTATAACTGTAATTCTGGGTTTTTCTCCACTAACTCATGGCTTAATGACAGGCTTGCTTTTAGTTTGAAAGATAATGGGAGTTGTTTCGGTGGCTCATTTAATGTCTTGCATTTGAACTGGGAGGGGCAAAAGATGAACGGAAGTACTAGCTCAATTATCCACAAAATGTAAGAGGTCTGCTCCTGACTATACAGGCCAAGATGCTGCGGACAGAAGTCATAACTAGGGATTAGTCACGGCGAGTTTTGTTACCCAAAGTCTTCTGGCTCAACCTGAAAAGTACCGGAAGGGCTGGAGCGGAAGGGGTGCTAAAACCAGTCTAACAAGAGAGGAGAGGGTAGAAAAATGCCTGTGACCTAGATTGGTGGACGTTGACTGTGTGCTCTTACAACAAGCGTCCCCCTCTCCCCGAGAAATACAAGTCGTGAAGCTGAAGGCTAGTAAGTAGGGAAGACAGGACAGGTTGGAAGGAAGGCACAAAGTGGCTGGGAGAGCTAAGGTTGAGAGACGATTCCACAACTTCTAAAACGCGCCTTAGAAATGGATATGAAAGTCTGATAGCTTCGGCCTCTCAAAATTAGCCAACGCCAGTCACTCACCTCTTTGCGGCTGTCAGGTTACGAGCCACACTCCCCACCCGCCAAGCCAGGTTGGGACCTCCTCCGGACCGCGCCGCAGTGCTAAAGACGCTCAGGCCCTCCCCATAGGCACCGCCCACTCCGAGTCAGTGCCCGCCCCACGCCGCGTCCTCACCGCCGCTGTCGGTGCAACGTGCGGTTCTCCGGCGCACATTCCACACAGAGCCCAAGCGTTACAGCTCTTTCAAAGACCCCCACTTTTTGCCTCCTTATTTTCTTGTGAGACTCTTGAAAAACTTGTCGAGAAAGACTTATATGGGAAATAGTCAACTTTTACGGTACTTTCGAGGAGAAAAGAGATTAAATAGGGTTTCCATTTGTAGCGAAAGTGTGCATATTGTTAGACAGCTGTATTTCCTCCATAGTCCTCTTCCTCCCTCCACCTTCAGCGGAGCGAATGAAAACAAACAGTAACGATGGCGGCGTCGGGAAGCGACCGGCTGCTGGGCTCTAGGCAGGGGTGACTGAGTTGTGAGGGGAACCTTGAAGAACGCCCGTTGACGTGAGCGCGACAAGTTGTGCAGTACTGGGAGCGAAACACCTGAGACCTGCGAGCGACCAGCCTCCTAAGGCGTGAGGTAACTCTGCGACCTGTGCTGTCACTGCAGCTGCGGAGCGCGGACCCCTCAACCAGGAGGCGCAGCTGGTCGTCCCCAAGCCCCGGCCTTCGTAATGAGAACCCCGAGCCACTCGCTGTGTCACAGCCTCGCAGGTACTAACTTTAAGGGAGACTGTCCCCTGATCTCTAGGCGCCCCCGGGTGGGAGGCTATGGGTCTGCGGCCTGTCGGGTACCTCCCTGTGAGCCGAGAAGCCGACTAACTGCAGTTCAGTCCCCAGAGCTTTCTTTGGGGGGCCGAGTAGGTGTAGGCCCCCATTAGCCCTCGATTGTTCTCTGTCTTTACAGAAATCCCAAGTTTAAGTCTCTGCTTTTTCAGCTCTTTTTGTTAAGGTGTAAGGCTTTTTTTGGAGGTAACTTGTGGGTTTAGAACTCGGGTTGGGTAATAATATAGAGTAAGGTAGGTTTTCATTCAGTCAAGATTTGTTGAGTGCCAAATATGTACTCCACATGTAGGTGAGGGTGACTGTTGAATAGTGAAAAAAGGGACTCAAGGTTTACGGCTATCTTCTTACTGGCAGTGGAGCGACGTGTGGAAACCTGCGATCCATTCTCATTAAATAAATCTCTGGGTAAGTGACTAATCACCTTCTTGGGTTCATCCCTAACTCATCCCAGTTTTCACTTAGGCCAGTTAGTTCCCAGGTTGACTGGTCACTTGAACATAGCGTTTCATTTTGAGTATTTCTTCCTTTTCTGGCCATTCCACAGCCAGAGAGACACACAGACAGACAGACGTATTATGTACTTTCTTTAAAACTTCCAAGGTGGTAGAATTTATTGAACACCTTCAGTGGGGTATGTGCAATAATAAGAAACAACAGACCCTTCCTTTACACTTAATTAGCTTTGAGGTTTTTGTGTGTTGTTTGATGAGTGTTAGTCCTTTTCATGTGTTGGTATTGTGGCTCAACTAAATCATAAGGCTTTTTTTGTTTTCAAGTCCATTTTTCATTTGAGCCAAAGTCTTATAAATACTTGTGGAATGGAATCCTGAGTAATATTTCTGTTGCACAATGGTGATAAGTGCTGAAGCAAGTGTTACATAATAGTGTAACATACATCTAGTTAATTCATCCATTATTTTCCAGCTGTACCCCTTAAGGTATAAGTATAAAGTTCAGAAGACTATGGCAACTTTTGAGATTTACATTTATACAAACTGCAAACCACTGGGTTTTCATTACTGTACTTACATCTAACAGGTCATACTGTATATATATTTTTTCTCCTCTAGAGTGGTTATTAAAATTGAAACAGAAACTGTAGATCTTCAAGTACTAAACACTCCAAATTACATTGCTTGATTTAAGGACTAAGTATCAGCCGGACACAGTGAAGTCCTACTGTATAAGCCTACTAGAATTGTACTGTATGAAGGTGGGGGCAAGAAAGCCCTTTCTTCCATTCTTTCCTGCCCCTACCTACCCAACTGTATTAGCTTATGATCTTCCTGACTCAGAACATGGTGTCCATAGCCTGAATGCAAAACGAAGTCTAAGACATTAACTTTTGACATTCCAAACACCCAAGTCCTACTGTATAAGTGATTTTTTTAAAATTTATTTTTTAATTTTGGTATCAATATAAAATCACATGAGCAGCATTGTGGTTACTAGATTCCCCCCATTATCAAGTCCCCACCACATACCCCATTACAGTCACTGTCCATCAGCATAGTAAGATGCTATAGAGTCACTACTTGTCTTCTCTGTGCTATACAGCCTTCCCTGTGGCCCCCGCTGTATTATGTGTGCTGATCGTAATGCCCCTTACTCCCCTTCTCCCTCCCTTCCCACCCATCCTCCCCAGTCCCTTTCCCTTTGGTAACTGTTAGTCCATTCTTGGGTTCTGTGATTCTGCTGCTGTTTTGTTCCTTCAGTTCAGTTTTTTCTTTGTTCTTGTACTCCACAGATTAGTGAAATCATTTGGTATTTGTCATTCTCTGCCTGGCTTATTTCACTGAGCATAATACCCTCTAGCTCCATCCATGTTGTTGCAAATGGTAGGA